CTTGCGTGTGCGTGAGAGGGGGCGCGGGGTGGGGGGGTTGCAAGCCCAATATAGCCAGCACATGTACAGAGTGCCCAGCAGAACCAGTGCAATGTCTGGTGCCCAGTAAAACCCAGTGCATTCCCTTAAAAGCTTTCTTTGTTTCCTCCATTGCAAACAATGGAAAGTGGAGGCACCTTCTTTGGGCACTCTGTACATGCACTGGTTCTGCTGGGCACTCTGTAAATGTGCTGTTTATGTTGGGCTTGCAACACCCCCTTGCTTGGATTTGTTGAGCTGGCATTCCTACAGTGGTACTGGCTCTGCTGGGAACTCTATACATGAACAGGCTGCGCTGTGCTTCCACCCCTCCTTGCTTGAATCTATTGAACTGGCATTGCCACAGTGGCACTGGTTCTGCTGCTTCTGGACACTCTGTACCTGCACTGGGTCTGTGGGGCACTCTGTACATGAACTGGTTCTACTGGGCTGAGAAAAATCCCCCCCCCCTTTTCAGTTTCTACCGAGGAGACTCTCTGGTTTGACATCAGTCCTTGGGTGGAGTTTTTTTTGTTTTTTTTCCTCTCTGTTTCCCCCATTCCCCCCCGTGCCCCCCCCCCCCCCAATTGGAAACGATGGAGGCTGGGGACATCTTTTTTTGGGGGGGGGCATAGAATTGGACTCCCTGGTCCAGTCTTTTTGAAACTGGGGGGTGTGTGTCCTTTGAGGAAAGGCACCAGAACCTATGCTGAAATTTTGGTGCCTCTACCTCAAAAAGTAGCCCACCTCCACCCCCGGATACCCCAGATAGATTTCCCATTTATTATAATGGTCCCATAGGCTATAATACAGCTGAAAAAAAATCGGATTTCTGAAAAAGCCCAAATCCAAATACCATACCAGTATAGGAATTTGGGTTTTTTCAGGAATCCTGAATTTTTGGGGATCTCAATATATCCAAATCTGAAAATCCCCCCCCCTTTTGCACCCCCCCCCCACCATCTGATCCTTCTGTTGTGGAAGCGTTTATCCTCCCCTTCTAAAAAAGCTCAGGGTGGAGCTCTCTCCCCCACGCACCCACTCAGATCATGAGAGAGAGTGTCTGATCCAGGATAACCAAATTAACATTGTGGCTGAGTGGAAATTTGGATCCAGCCTTCTACCCAGTAGGCTAGAGTGGTTCTCTTTAGTTCTTCCCCCAGTGGCAGGGCAGGTCTAACTGTGCACAGTTGGCACGTGCTAAGGGGAAGGCCCCTGATTTCAGGCAGGGTGTGTGTCTGTTTGGGGGTGGTGGTGCAGGCACTGCAAGGAGAGTCCCCATCTGAGGTCTCCTGTGTGTCGCTACAGAGCAGTGGAAGCCCCTGGACACAGAAGGGAAGAAGCAGTATGACCGAGAATTCCTCCTGGACTTCCAGTTCATGCCTGCCTGCATCCAGAAGCCAGAGGGGCTGCCGCCCATCAGCGATGTGGTCCTTGACAAGGTGAGGGGCCGTGGAGGTGGTCATTGTGGGAGAAGAGGGAGGGTTGGCCACTCTCTGGAGAGCAGAGCCTGCCTCTAACGATGTTTGGGGCGTGGCCTGGTGAAGAGGGGCTGCATCTACTGGGCTTAGTTAAAACTGAGTGAGATGGTTTGCTGGGGAGACCAGAGTGGGGCGAGGGGGGGGGGGATCTTTGGAACTCAGAGTTCACTCCCAAGAACCCAGAAGAGGTGCTGTGGGAGCCCCCTCACCTTCCTCCCCCTTTCTCCGGTATCAAGGAACAGGTCTGCTCTTCCAGTGTTGCTTTCAAGGTGTGGATCAGTGAGGCAATTCTCCCAGTGAGCTTTGCAACCTGCCACGGCAGGAACTTAACCCTAACCCAACACGAAGGGTGGGTGCTCGGGGGAGGGCAGAAGGGCCTGGAGGCCGGAGGGGGTGACCCTTCCCTCTGTGCTTTCCTCCCCCTTGCAGATCAATCAGCCCAAGCTGTCCCTTCGAACTTTGGATCCTCGCATCTTGGCACGGGGTCCAGACTTCACACCAGCGTTTGCTGATTTTGGAAGGCAGATCCCTGGTGGACGGGCGGCAGCAGTAAGTGTGAGTCTTGGGTGTTGTTCCCTCCGTCAGAAGCCCCCTTCCCCACTGCTGCCGCTCAGACGGTGCACCCTCTGTATGCTGCTCTGCTGCAGTGAAGAGTCCCAAAAGCCGGAGACAGAGAGGGGCACTTGGTTTCCCTCCCCTCCCCTCCCCAGTTGCAGGTTTCTGTTTCTTCCTGTAATGTACCCACCTCCTTTTCTGCCTCGGCTGTGATTGGCTGGCCAGAGGGATGGCAAGCGGGGGGTGGGTGGGTTGTGCCTTCCTCTCAGAGACTCTGGCTTGCCGAGAGTGTTTGGCTGGAGGCTTAGAAGAGGAAGTGGTTTGGAGTCGGAAACCTGGGTGTTCTGTGGAATTTCTTTCCCGTGACCCGCCATCGACCCTGCCTGAGTGTTGCGTGCTGTGCCTTGTCCTCTGCGGGGGAGGCATCAAAAGCCAAAACAAAAACCCCTCCTCTCCCCCCCCCCCCCCCCCCCCCCGCTTTTGTCTCTCTCCAGGCCTGCAAAGTGCAGCCCCCTCCCGGACTCCAGTCTCTTGCTCGGTGCGGCACCCCAGCCTGCCCTCTGTTGGTCTCCTCTCACCCACCACTGCGGAACCTGCCGATAGGGGTAAGCCACCCTCTCCCCCTCCCCCCTCTTTCTGCCAAGGTCTCTCCTCCCCCTTCCTCCCGAGAGAGGAGCCCGAGGCACACGCCTGTGATGGCCCCAGCCGCTCGCCTTGCCTTGTACCTTCTCTAGGCAGTCTCTTCAGTGGTGGGTGGGACATCCCCAGCAGAGGGCGAGCTGGAACTGTGGCCTGAGCTGGATCCGCCCGGGGCTGCCCTTTGCAGTCCCGAGGAGAGGGGGAGATCAGGTAAGTCTTGCTTGGCCCCGTCACTCTCGCTCGAACGCATTCAGTGCCGAGTGTATGTTTTCTCCTTGTGTTGCTGAATGGCAGCTTCTTCCATTGTGTTTTGTGAAAGTAACAGCATTTCACTAACCTTGGTGTCCTGAAAAACAATTACCTGGGTACGACATTTAATTATTTTCCAAAGACCTCAAATGAGGCAAAATACCTGCAGTGTCTCTTGTAGCCAAGCGTGATGCAGCAGGAGCCAGCACAATGGAACCTGGAGGAACCTGTGTGGGCGGGGAGACACACGATTCCTGGGCCACCTGGCCTGAGAGCCAAAACCTCTGTGCCTCAGGTGTCCACCCAGGGAGGGGTTTTGTGTGTCTCCTGGCCTGCTCCGCAGGCCCCGGCACCAGCTAGAGAGCTCTTGGAACGGGGCTGGCTGCTTCCTCTCCGGCTAGAGGCCGTCTCTGTGCTGCTGTGTCAGCTCCTCCTGCCAGCGCTGCTGTTCCCAAGTGCTCTTGAGTAGCTGTCCGGAGAGCAGCAAGGGAAGTTGGGTTGCTGTTTGCTAACGGTGATGGAGAGAGAGAGAGGCCAGTTGGTGGTGGCTAGAGGTGGTGTCGGCAGAATCTCCAAGAAAGGGAGCGTTCTGGGTCAGGCAGCCTTTGCAGACCCCCTGTGAGTGACCTGTCAGGCTCAGTGGAATCAGCCCCCAGCGGGTGAGCCTTGATGCCGGTGGGTGGACTCGTTCGGTGTCAGGATCCACTCCCGTGGTGTGTGCTTGCTTTACTCTTCAAGCCACACACAGAATCCTTCGGATGAATCTGGACATATCCGCCATGAAGCAGGATTTGGTCTCTGCAAGGAGGAGGGGTTTCTCCAGACAAGTCGTCATCTGCCCGGGCTAAGAGTCCTGCCAGGGCTGGTTGAAGTTCACTGCCTGCTCAGTGCGAAGGGGCTGGTGGACGGTGACACCCTTGGTGTTTGTGCTCAGAGGTGCCTGGCGGGAGGTGGCGTGACGACTGTGCAGCGTCCCTCCTGAGGAAGAGCTGCATGCCGCTGTCTGGTGGGGCAGCAGCCATTCTCGGGGGGGGGGAAGACTCCCCCGTTCTTTGCCTATGGAAGGGAAAGGGGGAGACTCTCGCAGGACTGGGTGGGCTCCGTCTCTTCCTTCCTCAGACATGATGGGGGTGCATTTGGGGAGGAGGGCAGCATGGTGATTTTAACTTGCCTGAACATTTTGGCTGGATTGTGTGAGCAAAGCCATCATGCCATTGCTCTTGGATCAGTTACTGTCCCGCTCTCTTACCAAAAAGGACAGAGGCCATCAGCAGCATTTTATAAACAAGCCTTTCCTGTCCGAGATTGGGGGGGGGGGGGATTTCAGGAGCGCAGCTGGAGGAGACCCTCACCCTTCCTTCCCTCCCCCCCATCAGACCCCGCTTGCGAAGTCCCCGGCAGGCTGCGTGAAGCATGTGGTGTTGTTGTGCAGCAGCCTTTTAAGAGAATGTAATATTGGGGGGTGGATTTTTGTCTTAGCTGTTGAATGTTGGGCCACGGAGATCTCAGCCGGGTCAGAGGCGGGAGCCCCGGAAGATCATCACTGTTTGCGTCAAAGAGGATGTCCACCTGAAGAAAGCCGAGAACGCCTGGAAGCCGAGCCTGAAACGAGAGACGCAAGCGGAGGAGCCCGAGAACATCAAGACGCAGGTGAGGCA